TTTCAGCCAAGCCAAAATAAAGGAACACTTAGGTGGAAACCATATGGTCTAGAGTAAGAGATTCTGTGCTAGGCTTTCATACTCCCAAAAGGTCTGTGTCACCTTCCAGAGGAAAAAGCTCTAGATTCTGGGGTCTGACTTAATGAAGCAGCTAAACTGCAACTACATTTGCAAGTAAGGTAGACTGACAAACTGTAAAATAAAGACAACACAGCAATTACTATTTCACACCCTTAGAAGGTGGTATGCTAAATTTCAGTGCATATGAAGGGCTATGTGTTGGTAAAGTCTCTGCAAATTCTTTAATTTTAACATTGTTCAAGAGGTCAGAATGTCTAGAGAACATGAAGAATCAGTGAGACTTTTATGTTTCAAGACCCTGAAGGTTTGTTACATGCTTTAATTACATTCTCACCCGAGATAACATACTTGGTGCTATGTGTGCTTCCAGTGCTTTCTTTGTCTGGTATGTCCCAAGCTTTTAGATGAATCTATGCAGTGATTATTTTCACTGTTTAATCTTTATTTTTAACTACTTAGAACATCAGTTGGATTAATCTACAAAACTTGAAGTTTAGTAGTAACAATTAGTTGTTTAACTGGAAATTTAATATTTAATTCTGTCTTGGAATAGATATGTTTTTGGCAGAATATTAAAATACGATGCCAGAATCAGGCTGAAGAAACATAACTCCTCATTATGACTTTTATATATTTGTATAATTTCTTATTGCAGATCCATTATAACTCTTCAGCTGAATAAGGTTCTTCTTCCAGGGATCTCCTCCAATGCTTGCAGTGCAGCCAGGGGTCTGTGCTTTATATGTGTTGTCCTTCCCATTGTTTGGAAGGTTGATGGCATCCTGAAAACTGCTGCAAGTTGTGAGTCAGTCTGCCACGTAATTTTGAAGAGCTGCAAGCTGAAAGCATTTAGCTGTCAACTGGCAAGCTGATGGCTCTATGTGCCACTAAGAATATAGCCCTCAGATGGCTCAGCTGCACTTCTGCCATACCACCAACTCTCTGATGTTAGAAACCTACCTGCAAAAAATTTGAGAAAAGTATGCTTAAGTTAAAAATACGGTGAATGATTTTTTACACTGGCCATTCTGGTGTTAGATATCCTTGCCTTGTGGAAAAGACAAGAATAAAATTCATGCACTGGCAAGTCTGGTGTGTTTGCACATCTTTATGGCTCTTTTCTCCATTTGGATTGGTTTCCTTCCTTGTAGAGGAGACTCCTGTGTGTGGTGAGAAGAGAAAGAAAGGAACAGTAAGAAAAAGGACACCTACTGGTGTCTTAGTTTTTACTTAGTCTCCAGTTACTACTTTTAAGATTAGCATCGTGAGTATAGAATTAAGCTATAGCTCACTTTTCTCTATCTCCCAAAATGTACATCATGTTTAGGGTAATACCTTCTCCACCTGACAGTAAATGGCATTTGTCAGACTTGTGGCTAACTTGGTCTCCCAGCAAAGTGGAGAAGCAAATGAATAATCAGGAGCACAATAAAAATTTTAGTAATTTTTTTGTGTCCTAATAAATGTTGTTCTGATTCACTGATTCATTGTCTATTGGCAGCCATTTCTGAGCTGATTTTATTTTTATTAAATATTAACTTTGTTAGTGGATTTTTAATAAAAAATATTTTGGGTCTAAAATTCCAGGTGCTAGGGGATAGAAGGAGGGTTGTGTTCCTCTGCCAAGCTTGCACAGGAGCCAGGACACCTGCATGTCCTGCAACATATGTGAGGAATACAAATGAACATACATTTTTAGAGCTTGTAATGCCATAGGCAAATCTCCGAAAATTTAAAGCATTGCAGATTTAAATGAAGTTCTTGAATTGACTTGGCTGAGTTTCCTGTTATATGGCCTTTTTGAATTTATTTTTTTGTTTGGGGTTTTTGTTTGGTTTCTTTTTCCCCCAAAGCTGCTCTTCTGGAAACATTGCAGTGCATGCTAGTGAGAGAGGGAGAATGGCAGGACACAGGGAGAAGTGGCTGCAATAACGGCGTGTACCTAACCTGGCCGGTCTTTTCTGCAAGCTTACGCATTCGTAGTACTATTAGGAGTGCAACAGTTGGTACATTCAAAACAAAAGCATCTTGGATCAAGAACCTGACCAATATTCATAGTTTTTGGTATGAGTATGCAGGAAAAAAAGAGAACTCTGAGGAAAGCAAAAGTTTCTGTGCTTCCTATTAGAGTAAATGGCAATAAGGAACCCGGGAAATGAGATGCAATGCATTATGTATCTCTCCTCTTTGCTTCTTTCTGTAGGACCATTTGACTTCAGCTCTGGTGTGGCAGGCAGACAATGGCATTAGCTAATTTGGCTCCGTGTAGTGCTGAACATGAATATGAATTAGAGACAAGTGCCTGAGCTCTCATACTGACTTTTGTTTAGCTGTTAATTTGTTCGAATGTTAATGTGCCACATGCACATAAGCCCAATTAGGTTTGAAAATGCTTATTTTCTTTTCATGGCTTCTAAAAATTGAAGCTTTGTTTTATTTTATAAGCTATTTTAATCAGTTTTATTTTGCTCAAAATGATAAAGAGGATGTATAAACACATCCAGGATTTCAGACTCAGTGGAACACTGCACTATGACCTTCTGACTCTTAAATTAAAAGTAAGTGAAAAATTACTCTAATAAGAGTCTTGTTTTGATATTTGCATTTAGTAGTCCCATAAGTAGCAACTGCACTGGCTGTGAGTGCTGAGATTTCTCTAAGGTTTTGCTTTTACATAAGTGTGTTTACCTCTACAGCCAGAATACCCCTTAGTCTGGAGGAGCGATTTTCTTCTTTCCATGGGCATTTTGTAAAGCTTACCTTCTGACCTCTTTCTTCTATGCAATAGTATTCTGCATTACTGATCAGCACTGGTGATCCTACTACTTCACAAAACTGAGGAAGATGTTCATCTAACATCACAGAGCTTATCATCTAAATTTTGTATACAGATGATGCACTTGCTAAAGAAATGTTGTTGAGAAAGAGTGGAAACTGTGGGTGTTAACTTAATATTTAAACCTTTTATAAATATTTTCTTTACTGAGGTTTTGCTTTTGCTTCCTGATACAAGCACTGTCATTAGTTACTCTGTTCAGAAAGAAATCTGTGAGTCAGCTGTTTGGATGTTGTTTTAGAGCCCAGTGAAATTCCAGTGACTTGAATATTATCTCATATTTTGAAACTGCTATCTCAATGGACCTGTTATACCTTTCAAAGTTCAGCCATCATTTCTATGTTTGGGTATAGAAATCTATGTATGTTGCATGAAATTTTGTTGAAGTAGGAAATTGTGTGTCTTCTGCAGCTGAAATTGGGAAACAATTAGATAAATTTAGTGGTACTGGCATTCATTACTCACAAAAAAACACTAACTGCAACAGCGCATTAAAAGCCAACCTCCTGATTCCACGACAGATAAATAGACATTATGTTACCTTTGTTCAGAGAAAGTATAATACTAGATGATCATTAGTTTCTTGGGTAGCAGTTTGGTTCCTACTAAACTACAAAAGTAATGAAAAATGAAGTTTCAAGTTTAGATTTTCGTAGTAAAGTGGTATTATTTTATTTAGATTCATTTTATTTAGGCTCAGAAGTGAGCTGATCTGGGAACTCTCCCACAGAGGTGGTACACTTCCAATGACTGATGAAGAGTAAACTGAAGTGGCAATACTCTGGGAAGGCCAGAGGATATTGTAAATTGTCCATCATGCCAAGTGCTTGTGTTACACTATGTTCAACTCACCATAGTATTTTAAATGTTGAAAGACAGTGTAAGCCAGGGTTCCAGCCAGTGTCCAAGCCTCACATGACTGATTCATTGCTAGCATAGTATTCCACATTAAAAAATTAGAGAATTAACCAGTTTAGTGACACATGAGCAACAAAGTTTTGGCATGAGCTGGTTTATAACCGTTTACCATGTCCTATGTAGAGCATAGAAATTACATATATAGTGTTCTCCCCAATTTGAAGTCTTTTAAAATGTTTAGGTAAGGCATAAAATTTTCAGAGGGAGCCTAATTTTCTTCCCTTTTACCATAACCCTTACAAGCTCCTAAATCACTTTTGGTTTTGACAAACTTTATTAACTTACAGAAATTACATGAGTAAATACTTTAGTCGTGATTGAAATTCAGGTGTTCCCGTCATATATGATTTTGCTCTGATCCCTAGGTAACACAGCTTAGCATAATTGTGGTTTTGTCAGTTTTTCCCGTTAGTTCAATTTCTGATGATACTATATGTACATTTTTTCTATTAAAAAAGGAAGTATTTTTAATATTAAAACTGAATCATGGATATCAGGTCGTACATATTTATGATTGAATAAATAAATACAGTGACTGTCATTTGTGTTATTAAATCTTTGCTTATTTTTGTAACTAAGCTGTATCTAAATTATATTTGAGTTTCTGAAATATATGTCTGTTTCCAGGTGAGGCTAAATTTCTTCATCTTAGCTAGTTGAAATTGCAGTAGCGCTGGTGAAGCCATACTATTTCATCCAATGATGCCTGTGTCACATTTCATGCCAATTATTATATCTTACAAGATTCAGCTGTATGAAATTTTATCTACAACCAGCTTGTGCTCCCTGGCTTTTAAATTCAGTATCACTGAGCAGAATTCCAGGTTTTTGCATCAGACAATGTGCCTTTCAATGGTTAAAATATCTCTAAAAAGGGTGGAAAAAAAATGCCTCAACAGAATGAAAAATATTTCAGATACAGTTTTTGGATGATGTCCAGTTTCTACATTAAAAATGCTTTCCAACACCAGACGAAGCCTGAATCATAACGACTCATTTAATACCATGTGCTCTCTGAAAAGAAAATGAGATCAGTAGTTAAATGAAATGCCCGCAGATCCTGGGCATGGTGCACAAGATCAATAAAGATGATAATGCAGAGATGTGGGAGGACACTAAACTGGTCTGTTACTTAAGATTTATTTTGTCTTCCTGTATCTTTCAGAGTGCTCTATGGAAACAAGATCACAGAGATTCCCCAGGGCCTTTTTGATGATCTTGTGTCTCTGCAGCTGCTGTGAGTACGATCCCTTCCTCTTTATTTTACAGACTTGCTAGATTTACTGGTTTTTTCAGCTTCTGGCATTAATATAATCACCTTCTCCACTGAAAACTCACGGGGATGTGCTAGTTTGTTGTTTCTGTTGTTTCTGTGTCAGGCAAGAGGGAAGCAAGAGCTGAAAAACAAAAGGAAGGTGCCAACAGTTTTATAGCACAGTGTGTATAATGGGTAATAGACACAGAGGATTTAACTGTGGGGAGGAAATGAGAGACTTGGTGAAGTCCAAGGAAGGAAATCTGGTCACTGGCTGATGTGCAGGTGGGGATGCCATCTGATTGTTTTTACACATTTAGCATTTGTCATTGAATATTTAGATCATCAATTGAGGGCTACTGTGTAGCACCTGCAAGCAAAATGAGAGAATGAAAGATTTTATTGTTGCGAGCCATATTCAGTTCCATATTCTTCTTATGCCAAATGTATCTCAGTTGTAAGAGAAATTATTTTAGAATATTATGTGTATTTGAGTATTTTATGCCATGTGTGATTTAACACACAGTCGTGATCAGGGGTAAGATATATGTCATACTGTCTTCAGTATTTATTAATGTAGCATAAAAAATTTCATAAGCCAAATGTGAAATGGCAAATTTCACTCACTCTTGTCTCCATAATCACACTAGGAACCAGTAGCTTCTTCACAGAGAAGGAAATCAGCTACTATTTCAGTCAGTCAGTAGAGGGAGCAGAAGTGAAGTGAGTTTAATATGTATTCCTAACATTCTGATTACCGTCATGGATGGTGCTCTCAGAAAGGTGATATATGCTAAATTAATCAATTCTGGTTTATATCACACACAACCCTCCACCCCCAAACAATAAATTATATAAAATATAAAATAAAAAGTAGCTTTTAGACATGTTATTTTAAGTCTTTGTGACTGTGTTGACATAACCGGAAATTAATATCCAAAAGTTCATTATTACCATTGAATGCATCACACTGATTGCAGTCTTTGCTGCACTTATATGCAATGTAAAAATAAGTATAGATTTAGATTAGAGATCCATGAGCAAAGTCAAAGAACTAAAATATGAAATAGTGGAAATTGCTCTATATGTTAAGACTATTCAGATGTAATTTATCCATAAGAACTTATTTGCAAACACGGACCACCCTGTTCTGGAGGACGAGCAAGAGCACATCAGGTTTGGTTATGAGAATCCTTGAGCTGCAACAGTGGGAAGCAGTTCATCTCCTCCTGCACACAGCCAATTATTTTGTCTTCACCTTTTGCACATACATTTTCTGGCAGCTAAGCATGAAAGTGCTCAGAAGTTGGGACTCAGTACATGTTGAGATAACTGGCATGTTAGTCATTGTCAGACTTGGGTTGTGTTCGGTACAATGAAGATACTGCAAGCAAAAGGAGAGCTAAAATTTAACTTGTCATTTTTGACCTCTGAGAAAGAAAGTGTATTAAAATAATCTGAGTTTTATCAAGTGCCTTCTGTGCCCCCCTCAAATATTTTATGGTTACAAGTTCGAAGTGTTACACAGTTGTTCTGTCTAACCCCGGACACTTTACAGATAGGGTCTTTCCCAGTAGGAGAAAATCACTCAACACATGGCTCACAGGGTGTCCTATAAAATGTGGCTCTAGAACTTTTCAATAAAGCATTAAGTAGGTTTCAACGTCTTTATACTATAGTCCTTGTGTGCATGTAGTGCAGGCTTTCAATGAATTACATATATAAGCCCAGATACAGTAATTTTCCAGTTTCAATTAGCTCAAGTGATGCCTTTTTGTTAAGGAGGCAAAATCTATATGCCAGAGAACCATTACAAGGTGTGCTACTTCAACCATTTAAACATTCTCAAGCTGAGAAGATACAAGTCAGTTGCCCTATTTTGGGTTTCCAAGAGTATTTTGGCTCTGGAGCCTTTCAGGGTCATCTTGAAATTACTTGAATATAAAGTAGCTCTTGGCAAGGACAGTGTTGAATGATCATACTTTAAATGCAAACAAGTGCCTGCGCGCTTTTCTGATCGTGGCTTTGAAGCAGCTATTATGGGATCGCTTGTAGTATTTTAATGGATACCAAAAAAATAAATGGCATTCATTGGTTTTAGACCTGCTGTTGAACAGTTGGAAGAGTGCCCTACAATTAGATGTAATTTAGTGTTCAGTGGACTCTAGATTGGATTTCTTCTTATTAGTCTGGAGACACACTGATAAGAACGCTCTGATTAAGGTATCCTGGTAGTCAGTATAATTTCCAAAGCTTGAGCTGGAGCATTTTTGAAAATACACTGGCGTTATGGTAAGGCAGTACACAATCAGAAAAAAGGAGGAGTTGTGGGTCCTGTATAAATTGTTGAGATTGTATTTAGAAGGGAAAAATAATTACTGTGAAATTACAGAGCAGATAATATTGTTATTTACTGTTTTGGATAAGACTTAACAGAGTTTCTCAGAAATGTCATTATCCTTCTGTTTAAATATACTGTCACAATGCAGGCCCAGATTATTCCGCTCTTATTCTGGCAGAATTGTTTTGTGTAAGTGCCTTACATGTGCAGACAGTACCACTGATGTCAGAAACACTGTAGCTGGGTAAAGTAATGCTCAGCTCAGGCATGACAGCAGCTTAAACTGCCCCGTTTGACTTTGGTGCATGGAAAATGGAGAATTCAAAACAAGTTTTAGACCACCTGGCTAGCATTAGAATTCTGCATTTCTGTCATATAAGACAGAGGTGGGTAAGCCAATATTATATTATATTTGGCAAGAAAATAACCAGGCATGGTTAGATAATAAAGAGGGGTTTTTGTTGGGGGGGTGGTGTTGTGTGCGTGTAGTGTTTTGGGGTGGTTTTTTTAAACCCTATTGTTTTAATTTAAAATGTTGCTTCTGAAGTCTTCGTTATAATTACCTATCTTAAGTAGTTAACATTCCCCACATAAATAATCACAATTGGATTTCTGTTAAATTGCTTATTTCACAAATCTTATGTCTTCCTAAACATGCAATTGTAACCCACACAGCACCAAACATTATTGTACAAGTCCAACTACACATCTGTTCTGTGGAACAGAAGCTTTTCTTGTACCATGTCATTTTCTTTATCCCATTTGAAGTTTCCAGGAGAGAGGATGCTAGAAAGCTACTGTACCCTCTCCGCATACACTCTTCTTTTCAGCAGGCAAGATCAAATGTCTTTGGAGAATTTCAGATCAATTTGGATTTTAGAGAGCTCTACATTGTTTTCCAGAAAGGGATAACTGGAGTCTGATCCTTTTTTTTTTTTTTTTTTTTTCAGTAAACTGAAACTTTCATTTAATTGGGGCAACAATCCATCCAAGTTGTGAAATAATGTTTGATTAATTATCGTTGTTTGTCTAACTTGCGTTTGAGTATCAAAAGAATGGAAAGGGTTTCGGTTTAAGGTGGAAGTTTTCAAGTAACCATTAGCTGTGGCCAGTTGGAACTCCTGTCCAGGTGGCCTTAAATTAACCTTAGTCTGTCAAGAAACTGGAATATATTTAAATGTCCTTCTCACCTGTCTTTCTTTTTGCCTGGAATGTGGACAAGCTCTTTCAGGAGCCCTTGAGTTTGCCAAACTGTCTGCCAGTCTCTGCGCAGGGGGCACAACGTAACACTGCGCAGCTTGCTCTGGGTCAGCAGCCCTGTGACAGATAAACCCGACGGTTGCTCTGCTTGCTCCCAAATGAGCAAATGTGCCGAGCCAGTCTGCAGTGGGACCAGGAGTGAAATGGCTCAAGACAGTGAGCTGTACATAATGGGCACCAAGTTTGTTAACCCGTAGTTTTCATATCTAAGTAATACCCTTTCCTCTCTGCAACCATATTAAAACAAACATTCCTGGAGCCTTTTTATTACAGTTATACACTGTGTGCTTCACAGTGCTCTATTTCCTGGAACAAGAAGGTATCATAAAATATCTACAGTTTAAGGAGATTGTGTAGCAAAATAATATAGGGGAATGAAATCTCATTTTTCAAATGTCTGGCAAGTATCAGTTTTAAATAAATCATTTTCCTTGAGGAAATTTATTTTTCATAGTTACTAATCATACAAGTGTTCAGGCATCTTAAGGTTGAGATCTCCATAGCTTACTGGGCAAGAAAGAATCCTTATAGTGGACTCTGTTTTGATGTTGCTAAAGATAGATGTACGCCTGGGGTACATATATATTGAAATCAGAGGTTTGTTGTCTTCCTCTCTCATAAAATGAAGCCAAAAGTGTACAGCCTTCTCCTCCTTCTCCTAATGTCTGATCCTTAGTGAAAACTCAACATTGTAGTTGGAAAAGACCAATAATCATATTGCTGCGTGGAGTTTGACACATTGACAGATAAAGTAACTTCAAAAGTGATGAAAAATTAGACTTCCAGATCCAATCGTCTGAGTTAAAAGTGGAACTAGATCTAATATTTACAACTTCAACTGACCTTTATTTAAAATAAACTTGTATGAAGTGACAAGTCATGTATGCTTTCAGAAACTGCTATTATCAGTCTTCCCAAAATTCAACCACTAAAATTTTGCTTTGAGTGATTCTCCTTTTTAACCTGCTTTATATGCCATTTCTCCTTGGATGAATAGGGAGATACTTGGTACTCCCATAGCTCTTCTGGTGAGGTGGCTTGGAAAATATCTGTATGGCACATTTGCCAAGTTTGAAGTGCTTGTGTTGATTTGTAATTCTACATTGAATCACAGTACTTAAGATCTTAAAATAGGATCTACCAATTATTTATTGTATACTTTTGGAGCTTGTTAGAAGCTCAAAGAAAATACAGTGAAGCACAAACTCGTACAAAGTATTTAAAAAAAAATAACAATAATACAAAATTACTCTAAAGAATGTACGTCAATTCCAATATTTTGTATTGTATACATTACACTGTTATATACATAAGTATCATTAAACAGTGATGCAAACAGTATATAAATGCCAGAATAAAGAAATTAGAGTTTTCCATTTCC